CTAAAAGCGACTTTGCTCAAAATATTGTAAAAAAATGAAGCGAAAAGGCTAAACAGGAAATTGATGAATATAAATATGGAAAGACATACAAGATGACAAACACTGTGATTGACAGCTGCTGCTGTCCAATGATAAAGCAGCTGTGATGAAAAGACAGATTTTTCCACGTTTAAAATCTGGACTTGATGACGAGATTGTTTGCGAGTTTAATGACATAAGAACAGATCTTTTGATTTATTTTTTTTTTTTGCCCCTCCGTACTTCTCTGCCCCTGAATGCCACACGAGACAAAAGCTCTGGGAAGAGCCGACTGACATTCAGCTCCGCAGTAGGAATGTTTTTATAAATATCTCTGGACGGATAAAAGAAATGAGGTTAAAGAATCAGTCATTACAGGCCCTCGGAGGCTCGTTCCTTGTGAAATGCCACTGAAACGAATCCGCCGTGGACCCGCATCGTCTGTGTGCGAGTACAAACGGGGCCTCCGTTTTATGATGGCTGAAGGGGTGGTTCATGTTGTTTCTAAAAGTGCGTCTCTCTAGGTCTTTGGGTGTCATGGCAATGTGGCCATTAATGGATTTTTATTTTAACAGTCAGTGAAAAATGACAAATGTGAAGAAGAAACAAACCTTTTTCACCTTTATCCAAATCATAATGTAAAGTCTATTGATCTCCGGCTGCACTTTAGTAAACACCAGCCTGGACGTTTTAATGATATTTTGCACACCACCAAACAAAACCCTGCTGAAGAGTATATGTAATAAAATATAATTGTAGTTTATATATTCTCACAATTCACTAAAATCTCGGCCCGTTTAGTTGAAGACAACTCTGATATACTCGCAGGAATTGAAGAAAGACACTGACATTTTTCATTTTTCAGTTATTTTTCAATAGCTCGGATTCTCTTTTTATTTCAGTTTTAACAGCCATTTGCTGCCACCAAGTGGACATGTATTTAATTGCTGTGCCTGTCACACATTGACAAATGAAGAAAAACTATTTGCAAGATATAAATAATATTTTTTCAGAACGATTAACTGAAATTGGGTAATGTTCCACGGCATCCCAAATGATCTCCCATATATACATATATATAGCAAAAAAGGTTAGCCAAACCCAAATGATCTCCCATATATATATATAGCAAAAAAGGTTAGCCAAAATATGTTACGGTGTAGCCACTGAACGGAAATTGGTCACAAAAAGCTAACCGTTACTCAAAGGTTTAGCTACAAAAGCCTAAAACAGCTAACATTTGATCAAGAAATAGTAAGAATGCGAAAGCCGCTATTTCACTGTAGTTCTGTGATTAATAGTGGTGCTAACAAATTAATATTTGAAAACGTATCTGTCATGCTAAACACATGAATTGAGGAGTTTTCTTTTTTTAAACCTTAAAATTGAAGAAAGAGCGAAAGGCCAAAGACGTGAGTGTGTGGCAGGGCTTTCGGTGTAGCTTAAATCATTTTAGCAGAGCTTTCTGTGGTTTCTTTGCTGGAGTTTAGCAGTCGTCCAGATGCAGCAGTCTGCAGCTCCGCAGAGCCAGCTTCACACTCATTTTCCGTACCACTGTTCAGTCCAGGTTGTGGGGGACTGTCAGCAGCCATATGGAGTGAGAGGGAAACAGAGAGGTTTCTGGAAACATCCCATTATAGGTCATATATCACAGCTTTGACAGAAGCCATTCTGCTGTGTTTTCCTTCCAATCAGGAAAGAGACAGAGAGGGAGAGGGGAAGACGAAGCATCTCTGGCCATCAACAATACCTGAGTCAGGGCTCTGCTTAATGTACTTTTGGACTATTATTGTCGTTTCACTGCAGAGTTTCTTGTCTTATTCTGTAGCTGGAAGTAGAAATTTAAATTTGTTTTATGAGAGTTCCTACGTACGAGTTTTTTTATTGGCTACATACAGCAAACTATTTCCGAACTATAAGTCGCATTTTTTTTCATCCTTCGGGCGGGTTTGCGACTTGTACTCAGATGTGACTTATATATTAAAATATATAATTACACATGTTTACCACTGTAAAGCACTGAAAATGTACATGTTCATTATTTTCATACCACCAGCCACTAGAGGGCACTCTAGGCTTGTGTACCAGTATCTGCTCCTCCTGTACCACTGAAAATTTACATGTTCATTATTTTCACCCTGACAGCCGCTAGAGGGCACTCTAGGCTTGTGTACCAGTATCTGCTCCTCCTGTAAGTCGCCCTTTTTTTTATCTTTTGGCTGGTGCGACTTACTATACTCCGGACTGACTTATAGTCCAAAAAATACTGTACTTCTATACTCCGCAGTGACTTATAGTCCAAAAAATACTGTACTTGTTGGTTTTATCTTTTACAAATAAATCACAGAATAGAATTAGGTGAATCGGGACCTGAGCTCGGGATCCTGCTGGAGTAAATAAAGCCTGAGTTTAGAGAAAGAGAAAGTCCACAGGAACCGCACATTTGTGGCTTTTCCAATGACTACCCTTAACAAAGTATATGTGCCCAAAACAAAGTGAGTGTGAGCTGATTTGCTGAGATCTGCGCTCCCTGAGAGCCGCTGCCGTCTGGACCCAGTGCTTATTTGTAGACGATCAAACCCGCTTCCTTCCACTGTGTAATGTGTCCCACATGGATTTCCTCGCAGACTGGGGCAGATGAGGGTAGAGTGAGAAGAGTATCAACACAGAGGGCTTTGATAGGAACATCTATTCTGTTTCCCTAGGTTTGAGTGATATGTTGAGCCGCGCCAAGCCCGAGCTCTGCTCTCCACATCCATCTCCTCCATCAGACAGACTAGACGCAGCCTCCTAGGTTTGGTCATTTGTTTTGGAAAATCGCAGAGGTTTGCTCCTTAGAAAAACAGGGCTCATAGTGTAGGCTGAAGAAAAACAAGCCTCAAAAATTTCCCGATCAGAACATGTGAGGTCTAAAAAGTGTGCCTTAGTTTAGAAGCCGCAAATATTCTTGCGTCAAAGTCCATTGAGAAAATCCGTTCTTTTACACTTTTGGATTCACTGTTGCCATTCTCTTCAAGTCCCAATATGTATGACCTAAAGACAAAACGACCACACGGGGCAGCGGTTGGCCCCAAAGTATTAATGTTAAAACATTTATTTTCTCCATGGGCTTTGGTGCGAGAGAGTGATGATGTTTTTGTAAGCAAAAATGTAGAAACATAGCTAAACCACCCAACAAGATCAACGATGACTTAAATAAAGGTAGCTAGCAGGAAACAACAGAAAGTCGCTTAGCATTAGCCAAAACAATTTAGTAACGACAACAATTAGCCAGACTTTAACCAATCTTTTACTCTATGTCTGAAGCAAACAGTGATGCTACGTTGTTTATCTGAGAGTATTAAGGACACACACAGGTTTTGCAAGTTCCGTTTACTGAACAGTAACCGCAGTAAAAACAAAGTTTATTTCAAGGTGTGCGTGAGTTCCCTTCTTTTCAAACGCTTTGTTTTCTTAGATTGTGTGACGGTTAGAAAACAGTGGCACCTTGAGAAACAAGTCCTTAGTCAATGCAGGACAGAGACACTCCGAGGTTAAGGAGCAGGTTGTGTCCCCAGATGCGGGTAGACGAGGGTCATAGAGGTCGCCACCATAGGGGACCAGAGTATTAGAAACAGTCTGCAGCTCCACACCCCTGTGCCTCCCACTCCTCCTCCTCCTCCTCCTCCTGCTCCTGCTGCGTTCTGGACCATAAACTGCATCCTACATCACAACTCAAGCCAAAACCAGCCCGCTGTCCATCACAGGCACATACACACAAAACGAGAGAAGCCTGATGGGAAAAAAGTAACGTTTCCTCCTGGACACACAGCTGTTTTCCTCAGAGAGAGAAAGAGGGGGGGAAAAAAGCAGAGAGGGAGAATAAAAATGTGACGACAGACGAAACAAAGGTAAAAGAGCAGATTTAGCAGCGGTGCAAAAAGATTCAGAACATGTTCGGGATCTTTTAAGAAGAAGATGAACTTAAAAGAATTTCGCAGGGTAATTTATGTCGTCATAAACTACAAACCAACCGATGTAAACATAATTCATCTCGTGAATCTTCCCCTGGTGTTTTTTTTTAACCTGACATGTAAACTGTTTTAAATTATCTTTATGAATTCTTATTTATTATTAGTTTTACTCTTTAGTCTTGTTCCTTTAGAAAACCCATACAGATTAGACATGACGTAAAGTAAAAATGATTAACGTCACAGGAAGACCTGCAGCAACGCCTAACACCGAATTCAAATACGTTCTTTGAATTTGAATATGTAATAAGCATTTGTTTTGCTTCAGGTTAGTCGTTCAGACTTTGCTAAAAAAAAATCAGCAACATCTTACAGCGAGATGGTAGAGGTCGTACAGTCATTTTAGCTTCAACAGTCAACAGCATCACAAACCGATAGGTGAATTTAAAAAAGTTAATTTATTAAGCATTAAACCACTTGGTGATTTGGCAAAGTTTTTTTTTTTTGGTGAATGCCCCTTTCTGACGAAACCTGGGATCAACCTGGAAATGTGTGCTTGGCAGACAGGAGGCGCTGCTACTATGACATTAATGAATTTCAGAGCCTGTATATAAACAGTATTTTTTTAACCATATTTTTTACACACTTTCTTTAACTACATTTTCCTTTATTATTTATTTAATAGGGACTTGCATGAAAATTAAAAAAGATAATTAAAATGATAAATATGATTTATTTATCAATATAAATATGATTTATGGTTATAATTATTTGTATTATTTTTAAAATTATGTTTTATTGCAACTTTTAGTTCTGGTGCTGAAAGCTATAAACTTTGTGCTTTGATTTGGTTTCAGTCTGATATAAACGTGCTCAGTGGACGACCTTAATTGAAAATGTTTTAATTTTTTCACAACAGTAAAGAAACAAAACAAAGAGCAGATGTGAAATTTAGATCATCATATTTTGTGAGAAAATAAAGGCGGTCGAAACTCGTTGAAATTCATGTGTCGCTTTCTGTGTTTTGCTCAGGTCTTTGTCGCCCTCTCTCTGCTGTACTGGTTCCTGCAGAGCGTCTCTCAGCTCGTCAGCATCAAGAAGAAAAGCGCCTGAACGAGCTGCGGTCGTTTTGACGTCACAGAGCCAACAACACAGGCTTTGACAGATTGTAACGACGACTTAAACAATCAATATGCTCCCGCAAGTTGATTCTCCTTCGTCAATGTGTCATTTACTGCTGATTTTAATACTGTGGAGAGAAGAATTTGAGCAATAATATATTTTATCTTTAGCATTTATTCATTCTGCTTGTCAAAAATATGAATTGGTTCTGCTTATTTTAAATGTTGTTTGTGCTGCTGCTTGAAAAAATACAACAGAAAATCTGTAATCCTTTTGTTTGGAAAATAAAACATTGTTGGGTTGTAGTAATAATTGTTTGTATTTGTGTTTTGCTTTTTAAAATCACAATATATGAAACCTTATACTTGCTCAAAGGTGGGGTTTTTTTTTGTTTTTGTTTTTTTTTTTTTTGGAAGTGCAAACTCACTAAGACCTTATTTATCTTCATAATTTGCTTTTTATCTTATCTTCTATGTTATCTTCTTCAACGGGTCATTTTTATCTCACTGTTTCTCTAACAGGAAACCACAATCTCAAAACATCATGCTCTCCCGCAGCAGAGGGAAACAGTTCATGCAGATTTAATCTCCTATTAAAGATCACAGACGCTGGTAAACGTCCAACACTCCAGGCAAACTTTAGTTTTTTTCTACTGCTAACTGAAGTTTAGAGATTTTTCAGATATTTTGGTCTTACTTACAGCATGTGTTGTTTTTTTTTTTCTCTGCCTCACATTACATACATGATTTGATAGTGTACTATATATGTTGTATATGCTGTTGCTCTTCACTTTATGAACACAATTTGTTTCCTTCTTAATAATACCTGGTATTACCTAATACCTAGTATTGATCTATAATGAATAACCATGATTAATCGTGACCGTGATAAATTACAATTAATGTGATTAATGTTGGTCATAGTGTGTGTATATATATGTATACATATATTTAATATATATACTGTATATATTTTCTCTATATATGTATATATAGAAATATATACACATACATATATACACTGCATCAGTGAGTGACTATTCAAAGCCGCAGAGCATCTGTGGATTTTAATGAGCCGTGGGTCCATTGAAGCTGACGTATTGATTGCGGCACAGATAGATATTGCCTTTCTTCACCTTTCCGATGAAATCCCACGGTGAAGCAGTGAGAGATTAACGTCTGGCTAAATGCAATGAGGAAATGTGGCAGAAAGAGGATCAATGGGTCTGTCGATGGAAATTGGATTTGGGTCTAATGTAAACAGGCAGCAGCCGTCATTTAATCCCCAGAAGTTTAACGTCAGTTTTATACCCTGGTCTGAATCACTATGGATCATATATCAGTACCAGCATTTCATTAGCATCGTCAGTGACGTAACCGGGGCCTGTGAAAGGTGTTGTCTCACTGAATGTTTTATCACTCACCCTATTAAATATACATGTTGAAACCTTGGGAAATTCTTGCCGTGACTCACTGTACCAGAGCTAAATACATGGAGAAATCGAGATCGCACAAAGGAAACAAGCAACAACGTCTACGGGAAGAAGTGGCCCAATCCGTCAACCATTGTTGTTTAACGTATTCAAAACATGTCCAGTCCTGTGTGTTTCCTTAGAGTTCAGTGTCTCATTAGTAAGATTTAATTGGGTCAACAACGTCAGCAGTGTGTTTGTTCGTTTATTGACATGGTCACACTTGGTATTGGTACTTGGCATCAGCGAGTACACAACTGTAAATACTCATAATACTCTTATCTGTTTGTAAAAATAGTATCTAGGACAGTGATTCCCAACGTGTTTTGGCTCGTGACCCCCGTTTTGACATATGCCAACCCCAATAACGTTTTAGTGGCTGTTGGTGCAGTCACATAATTGCAGCTGTCAATCAAGATGCGCCGGCTCAGACATTTTTATGTGCTGCAATTTTTTCAAAAGTCCATTTATGTTCATCAACGTAAAAAAAATACAGTTCTTTAAGATTGTGTGTCATAGTTTTAAAAAATAATAATAATTGATTAAAAAAATATTTTAATCAGTAATTTGAAAAAAAAATTCAGTTAATAGATATTTCAGGCCGAGTGACCCCACAAGGGGATGCGACCCCAAGATTGTAAACACTGATTTGGTCAGTGATTATTACTGTAAGATGGGGGATTAGGGAGAGAACAATCATTTTTCCAACCTTTGACAAGGAAAACTGAAAAACAGAAATAAAAAACAAAGCAAAGACTCCTATACAAGTGAAAAAAATGCAAACGACAGATAACACTTCATTAATCTCTCGGTAAATTTAGTAAAGATTAACGCCCGAACAGGGACTTGAACCCTGGACCCTCAGATTAAAAGTCTGATGCTCTACCGACTGAGCTATCCGGGCTCTGCTGTCAACAGACTTCAATCATTTCTAATGAAAAAAATAAACAAATGAACAACAGAGTTATGGTTGAAGAGTTCTGTTAGGCAACTGGACGGCACCTCTCATCCATCCTCAGCCTTCAGTTCTAACTAATATAAATCTATATTCTGGGTGTAACAAAGAATAAAGCTACTTCAGCTCTCCCCTGTTGCGTGGGCCGTGTAAACAGTCGTTAGGAGAATGATGGGTCGTTGCAATCCTTATCAGAACGGTTTCGATCACCTGCCTCTTTGTTGTGTGAATCTTTTGGGTATTGTTCCTAAAAGTGCTCTGTATGTGGGTGATGGGTTGTGTCTGAGTCCACCTCCTCTGTTGAGTGATGGTTTTTCCAGGTTGACATAAATGGCTTCTTTTACCCCTCTCTCAAACCATCCGTCTTCCCTGGCCAAAATGTGTACATTGTTGTCCTCAAAGGGGTGTGTTTTGTCCTAAACCACATTGTCCAGCTTGTTTCTTGGAGTCTTGTTCTTGTTTGTTTTTTAAAAACGCCCATCTGGGATAGCCACAGGTCTCGAGAGCTGTCCTAATGTGTCCCTGTTCTCTCATCTTACCTCTGTTGGTGGTGGGAATGGTGTCTGCCCGTGACTGTAGGGTTCTGATGACTCCTAATTTGTGCTCCAGTGGGTGGTATGAGTCAAAACGGAGGTACAGGTCGGTGTGGGTTGGTTTCCTGTACACCTCTATGTTGCGATGTCTGTCCACTGTGATGTGAACTGCACAGTCCAGGAAAGGAAAACTGTTGTTTTTCACATTTTCTCTGGTGAAGCGACTGTTGTTGTTTTTCACATTTTCTCTGGTGAAGCATCAGATGCTTTGTTTACATTTGTTGGTTGTATGCGATACATCCGATTTTGCTACATTAGCATTCTTTCCTTTGTGTTGTTTGTTTTTTTCTGGGTACATTTTACCCGTCATTATGGCAGGTGTAAGTAAGACTGTTTTTCTGTGGTAAATAATCATGTAACCACTGTTAGCGTAGGTGGGTGATATAGGTACTTATGTAGAGTATGTGAATTCTAACTTAGGGCGAAAATCAAGTCACGCCATAGGAACATAAGTCAGTCATGAGTCGAAGGCCCCTGTCTTCTAAAATGATGCTGAACAACCCCTTCTCCCATTGTTATCAGTTCTTACAAAGCATTTAAATATCATTTTAGTGTAGCAATGTATATGGAACACATTTTATTTACCAAATCTGCAGCTGAAGTACTGTCTTATGTGGTATATTACTTTAAAAAAAGTTAATAAAGTTAGGAAACTATATGTAACCCAGATACTTAAGGTGTTTGGCCACACAATTTGCAATTAATACATTCCGCGCATTTTTAAATATTGAACTTCATCGGCACCCGTAGGGACGTAAACGTCAGGTTCCATTAGTAATGACGATAGTAAAGAACCATGGAGAAGAACGACGGCGGGAAAGAAGATAGCAGTACACAGGTGTGGTCAGAAACACAGACGATACACGGAAAATTGTGAGGAAATTAAAAGATTTAGTGAATGTGGAAGAGGTGTAGTGACCCAGATTTTATTTTCTAAAACGTCTTCACTTCGACGACACCGCCGCTGAAACTCCGGTAAGTGTTTGAAGCATCGGCTAACGAATCGGTCATGGCGATGTATAACAGTTAAAAATCCAAGGTTAGTATTTTAAATTTATATATGTTTATTTTATATTAATTTGCAAATGACGTGTTCCTGATTTAATCACCATGATGAGTTTAAATGTGGAGAAATACGTTATAAATACTATTAAAAATTAAATACATTAAAAAGAGATTGTCTCTAATTACGACTTTAAAAAAGTACATGTAATTCTTTGAATTCAATGAAAGGGATTTTTGTTTCAAATTATTAATTCAATTTGTTTTGCACGATATTTGCAGACTGTTTTTTTTTTTTTTGTAGATCCCGTGATTGACCGCAGGAAGTCTTCAATTTAATGGCGAGCCAGACCCCCAGAGAACACCGTAGAGATTCCTGTGAGGAGACTGGCCAGCTACCGCGGGATATTTCACAGTGGAATCCACTCGGAATATGCAAGAGTTCCAGATAAGCCGTCGAACAAACACACACACACACTATGCCCAATAGGGTGATGTAAATTAGATCGACGCCACTAAGAAATCTGATAATACGGCGATATTTTACTTGTATTTTTAGTCACTGTACATGTAATTTTTTGTTGTCACTTCAATAAAACTGTCAGTTGTCCACGTTTAACCTATTATTATATTATTATTATTATTAATAAGAGTAATGCATAAATGCTAAAATGCTTTAGCAGTTTTTACGCCATCTATTGGGGAAATGTGGGCATTGCAGGGAAAAGGCACAATATGATAATGATAACACAAACAACATAATACAAATATAAACTAGTTTGGCAGGCCTGGTTAAACAGCCAAGAGGGCCGCATCTGGCCCGTGGGCCGTAGTTTGCCTAAGCCTGGCCTAGAGTATTACTAAAGTACTTTAATCTGGCCTATACATGCTAAACACTAAAAGCACTACATACAGAGTTTCCAATTACGGCAGGTTGTCAACAGTAAGATCAGTGCAGTCACACAGAAGCCATCTAACATCCACCTGAGCACCTGTTGTTTTAAGGTAAGACTAGATCAAATAACGTGTATGGATGGAGTTTAAATTTGACGCAGATACTTGGACATAAGAAGCTAAATGTTACATCATGGAACTTCTTCTTCTATCCATGTATTTTCATTATGGTTTTCTTTGAAACCCTGTTTCTGAGAAAGAGCAGAGCTGGTCGTTGACGTTCTTCAGAGAGCAGTTGAAAATGGCAGAGGCCTTGAGGCTAATGTCAAGTGCTGCTCTCCATTAATGTCAGACTATCTTTAGATGTTTTTTTTTCTTTCGCTTCTTTGACTCTCTTTTCTTCGCCGCTGCTCAGGGATGTGAACTAACATTTTCTGATGGTGGTCCTGCTGTGTGGTTTTCCCTAGAACCGGCATCTACTTAGCTGAGAGCGGCGTCATGTGTGTAGGTGTGTGTGTAGGAAAGCAACAGAGTGGTTACTTTTTATTTTGCAGAATAGAGGCGTTCTTAAAAGGAATACGGCCCTTTTTCTTCAGATTGAGTGGCTACTTTTTTTAATTTTGAAGGCATTTCTTTCATGCTTCTGAATGTAATTTCCTGACATTGATGTGTTTAACTTTTCAGTTTTTCAATGTTGGTTCAAGGTGAGCTAACATAAGACAGAGAGACAGACAGATATAGATAGATTGTTATTGTTATCCACATTAACAAATATATCTCTATATTCTATTATAATTTAACAGCTATTCTCATATATTTATGTACAATATAAGTGTATATAAAAATAAAGACAAACAGGTAGGTATAGTGTGTATAATATGAATAACATACTGTATATCGATACTGTAATTTAGTTTAGCTGTGCTAATGGCTAGCTAACAACTAGGTTTTAGCTAATTTTTTAAAAAAAAACTCCTGTCTTCAGTGTAGTCTTAAATCATTATATAGACACATACATAGGAGTTTTGTCTGCTACAGAAGCCTACGTGGACGTCCTACATGGACAAAATCTGCCTCCGTATAGTACAGGAGCAAGGAAAGCGCTTGTAATGAACACTGTCAGAGCAAAAAAGATCTTTTTGGGGGCAGATTCCCTGAGCCCTCACTAATGTCTGACTCCACTGTGTACACAGACGCGACCTTACATAATGGCCTCTTTGTCAAACATGCTTTTCTGCAGTCGTCTCCACACTCAGGCGTTATTTTTAGCCCACGGGGACAGGGTGATGGTGCTGGTTATTGATATACTGTGGAGTAGAGCATCATGGTGCCGACAGATCTGTCTGCTCTGTGATGTGTGCGGTGTTGCAATGGTGATGTGCCTTGCAATTTGTTCTACAGCCAATCTGCTGCACGGCAGATGGATGGAGCTCGCCTGCAGGAATGTGACAAGCATCAATATCAGCTGTGTGTGTGTGTGTGTGTGTGTGTGTGGTAACCATGTAGCAATGGTACATCACGCAGTTTCTTTTCTAGAGCGTAAAATTTATAAACAACACCTTCTGAGAGAAAAAAAAACATTTTCAACCAATCGAGACGAAGGAGCTCTTTTTGTCTTTTTGTCACCAGAGAGAAACAATTCAGGAATTGGAAGTAGAATGCCAAAAAAAAGACCAATCTGAACTTGCCAACCGAGGCAGCGGCAGATCAACGACTCTTGTTTGACTGATGTAAAGTCACTAAATATCTATGTAAGCATTGATCTAAGGTGTGTGACTGCATAATTATTGTTTTGGCTGTTTTCACTCTCACCAAACTATCACTCAAACGCCACAAAGTCCACTATAAAGCACTGTTTGGTTGGCTCAGAACTTCTCAAATAGTGGGGCGGGCCCCTTCGGGGGGCGCGGTGAAGTTTCCAATGGAATATGGCACACTGGACATCAGTGTACCACTGCTGTAATGCTTGAATGATAACAAGCCTCCAGCCACTAGGTGGCAGCAACTCACACAGTGGTTTGCACAGATAAAAATATACATTATACGTTATAAGGTTCTCAATAGTATTGTAATTCACCGGGATGTGGGTCAGGGGTGGTGTGAAAACATTTCTGTCCCCAAGGGGGGGCATGACAGAAAATAATTGAGAACCGCTGGGTTAGGTCAAACCGTGGCACATTAGACTTAATCTGCTCCGCTATGTCTCTATTTATCTTCTTTGGAGGCAAAATGTTGTGGTTAAAAACGTCATCGATTATCCAGATTCATCGTTCTGCCTTTAGCACAGCTGCCTGACCTGAGGCAGGAGCCACGTGAGAAACATGAGAGTTTTTGAGAAGTAGCGTAATAAATTCTGCTCAGAAGTATTTTTTTTTTTTAATTAATTTCTGTCCAAATTATATAGTTTCAAGTTGCTGCTGCTATTAATTAAGCACAACGTAATAAACAGTTATATGTAAAAACATTACTAACCCTTTACGTTACTAAATATAGATATATATGTAAAGTACTCTTTCAGAATAAATGAAAGATATTTTCCCTACTTAAGATTGACCTCACATGCGCCTGCAGGGGCTGCCAAAGGGTCAAATGTGGACTGGGGCCATTTGTCTGACATTTGTACTTTTCTATTCAGAACACACATCCTACCCACTCCCACTGCTGTACACTCAGTGACTTTAAGGTCAAGATAGGGATTATGCAGTGAATTGTTTTATTCTTTAGCCATAAAATACCTATAGATGAACTGGAATACTTTATATATGTAGAAGAATCCTTTTAAATATTTTTTTATCTTGCGGTGGCACAAGATTTCTATAGATGAACTGGAATACTTTATAGATGAAGAAGAATCCTGTTCATTTTAAATATTTTTTTTATCTTGCGGTGGCACAAGATTGCTCTTCCATCTGGACATTGACTGTTGATTCTATAACAATAGCGATTTTTCCGGTCTAAGGTCACTTCTGTCAAACCATTACAAGAACAATTGTATCGATCTGGCCGTTGTGACGTATTGCCGGTTCTCTTCTTGAAATTGTAATGATCGCGCGAACATGATTGTATCCTGCGTCTCTAACCTTCAGTTCCATTTGGTAGTGATTGCTTTCACCAAAGCCTTCTGGGAGAGTCGCGATCATTGTCGTCGACCCTCTCTCTCTGGATGGTTAGATCATACAAACGCTCCAAATGTCAATGATGCTGTTGGGAATATTAATGACGTGCGAACATGCTGTTGGTCATGACAGTAAATTATCGCTCCAGTGCTTTAATAGCTCAATGTGTTTCCTGCTTTGGGCTCTGACTATGTGCTGTAAATCGTTCCTAAATTATTTATGATCCTTTAGCAAAATTGTTATTAGTTTGTCTATTTTCTTCTAGAAGGCAACAATATCGGTTCGTTTTGGATCTAGTTCTAGTTTGAGTTTAATATAAGTTGTTGCGGTTACGTTTGACTTATATTGGAAATGGTATCTGTTTGATTTAATTAACATTGTCGTTATCTTTAATGACAATTTTAAGTTAAATTTTATATAATAATAATAATAATAATCCTAATTATTATTTTTTTAAAATAAATTATATATTTGAATTTGGTAACATTTTGAAATAATGGGAAAAAAAACATTTTAGAATTATATATTGAGAAATGAAGGTAGGCGACAGAGTGATGTGTGAGTGAGCAAGAGAATCATTTCTTTACACTGCTACTCTCTCTCTCTCTCTCTCTCTCTGTATCCTCTCCCGTTCTCTCTCTCTCTCCCTCCCTCTCATTCTCTCTCTCTCTCTCTCTCTCATCACGAACACCCACTTCAGCTTCACCCCAGCTCGGTGCAAACGCTCTGAGCGGCAGGAACGGCAGGGCAGAGCAGAGCCGAGCCGTGATGTTCAGGAGGAGATTCAACTGAGAACATCTGCATCCTGCAGCTGTGAAGAGGAGGAGAACGCGGGAAGAAGAGATCTGCTGCTCCTTCCTCCATCCATCCATCCATCCATCCATCCTTCCTTCTTTCCTCCCTCCCTCTCCACCTCTCCTCAGCCTCTGTCCATCGCTGCAGCAGGTGAGCGCTGTGTTGATCAGTCATCCTCTGTGTGAATGTGTCGCAGTGTGTGCGCCGCTGCCTCTACTGTTGCTGCTGCTTCTTACAGCATCAGCTCTCACATCGGCTGGCTCTCTGCCAGTCTGTACTAGATCCTGGATCCTAGATCCTGGATCCTAGATCCTGAATCCTAGATCCTGAATCCTGGATCCTCCTCCTTCTGATCAGTGACTGCAGCACTGCAGATCAGATCAGGTCAGGCTTTGGCTTTGAGAGAACATATGAGCAGTGTGAAGGTGCAGAAGAACAAACAGAGAGGAGGGGCATGATGGTGGTGATGATGGTGGCAGAGCAGGACTGAGCTGTGAAGGAATTATTGTTGTTATTTACTGCTGTCAAATTTAAGAGGTCCAAAGTGATTTCTATTAAAATGTGATGTTTTTCTATTTTAAGAAATGAACTTGAGTAATATTTTCTTATAAGGTTCAAAGCGATTTCTATTAAAATGTGATTTTTTTCAATATCAGGAAATGAACTTGAGTAATATTTTCTTATCATGAATTGCTTTAAAGGCAACCATTTAATTTCACTGATGCTATATTGGTCTTCTTTAACATACTTTATGTAAAAAAACAAACCCAATTTATTTTATATTTTTACAGGTAATTTATAATAAGGTATGACTTGGTTATAGATTAGCAGTCAATATTTAGCGTTTTCTGGTAACTGTGGTTGCTTCATTTCTTGGTCACGTTTGCTCCATTTTTGTAAATTATATGTATTTTATAAATGTATTTTAGTAACTAGTAACTTTAGTAACAAGTAAAGTTACTGCTAAAATATATTGGGACTACCTTTGCTCTATTGAGTAGTCGTCCAGTCTTTGAGGTGCTGTAACTTTTGATGCTTTGAGGTTGAAGTTTTTTTGTTTTGTTTTTTCCTATCACGCTGCATTTTGTAAAGTTTAACCCAATTACACCAACTTTTTAAAAAAAAACTTGTGATCTGCTAATGGAGCTTCATGGCTTTCACAGTCGCCTGCTGATAATGAGACCGATGATCTGATCTGTTGTTGTAGCTGCCGCCGCCGCCACTGCTGCTGCTGCTCTCCCCTCCAGCCTGACATCCTACTGTGAGCTTCTGTGTGGGTGATGATCAGTGGACGACGAGACCAGAGCTGAACACAATGAGCTGCCAGGACAAATGGGTCACTCTGACCCCGGCCGAGTTTGCACTGCTGCAGGAATATGCTCAGTGTAAGTAAGAACAGAGACGCGAAATCTCTCCCTCTTCCTCCCTCCTTCTGTGTGTATGATGTGTTTTCTGTGTGTGATAGGCAGCAGGGACGGTTGTGTGTTCTGTTTCATTTGTTCGATCTGCGGCAGTTTAGAACAGCGGGAAACTGATAATTATATTCTGCAGGCTATGGTTTATTTTAGGTACGGTTTCATTTAGGCGTAGTTCAGTTTTACAAAAAATGTTTTTTAGGAAAAGGTCAAATATTCAACACAGTCTACAGTGTCTGTTTTTGTTTTACTTTTTTGTAACACACAACAACACTCAAAGTCCTGCAATATATAATATAATATGATATAATATAAAATGATATAATATAACATAATATGATATGATATGATATAATATAAAATTTAATTACATGCAAATCCACACTTGGGCTCATTAAAAAAAAACTTATTAACTAAAATTAAATTAATTGACTAATTGACCCAGACTGTCAATTTGACCACTTTTATTTATTAAAAATTTATTTCTATTTATTAATTAACTTCACTAGAATTAGCCTCATTTACCACAAGGGGAAAAAAAGAAAGCTTATTTTCCATTCTAAGAATTTTAACAACAATGAAAGTTAAGAGCTCACTTTCTCACAACAGGATTTCGTAGATTTCAGTTTCGAGGGAGAAAACGGACCAGGCCGTGGTCTGAGAGTCGTAGAGCAGAGTAAGAACAGGGAGAACGGAGCAAAACGCCTCCTTTAAAATGGTCTAACAGTGATCAAGTCCTGGTTGTCCCTGTTAATTTTTGAGTTGTTCTTCCAGACTTCATAAACAAAGGCTGTGGGTGGCCTGCATGAAAGGATGTCGTGTGGAAAATATAATGGTTGGCAGTTAATGAGTCACTCCAGGTGAAGGCTGTATGTTTTTTTTTCCCCAACTCTGTGACATCAGTACGATGTTTATATAGTACAGAAACACTGCTATCACTCTTGAGATAGAATCCAGTTCGGTGCAGCGATCGGTCCTGGGTGCCTGTGATACACTGTGCCAGGTTTCAGTGAACGTGGTGTTGGACCTGTTGAAGTCCCTGTTCATTCTGTTAAAAAAAAGTTGCCGCTCATCTATTCTGTATGTAAGACAGAGTGTGATCTTCCTCCCTCTCTTGCCTCTTTTGTATCTCTTATACTCAACCGTTGCCATGGTTACGTAAAGCAGTCCATGGCTCTCCCACCTGTAAGAGAGGTGGGCGGAGCAAGCAGTGGCTCATTAGCGTTCATAGGTAAAACGCAGAGGAACGCCAGTTGATAACCGTCCTAATATGTCATAATAAAAGTAACTATGAGAGTCTATCATTAGGGCAGTTGGTCCCTTCCAGTGGACTCACCACCCGCAGGAAGTGACTGCTACCCCCGCGACCCGGTAACGGATAAGCGGATGAAAATGGATGGGTGGATAATGTAACTTTACTTTTAGGTACTTTTGGGGTGTCCTTATTTTTTAGTGTTTCTAAATAATATTTTAGCCAACTCTAGGGCATTGTAAGCTATTTTTACTGTTTTTTTTTTTTTGTTTTGTTTTTTACGCTAGCTTCGGCTAATCATTAAGCTATTTTGGGGCTTAGTTATCTTTGGCTAATTTAAATCAACATTTTTTTTTTTCCAAATACCTGTTGCTCTAGGTATCCTCTGGCTACCATTTCTCTTCAGTACGACCTACACTGCACACAGCAAGAGCAGCATTTTGAGATTGAGAGTTTATTCTTTGGCTCTGTTTTTGGACTTTCGATCGTATCTTGTCCTCACTGTCTCTCCAGTATACCTTCTCCTCTTCTCTCTTCCCCTCTTCTCGACACATGCAGACAAAACACTGCTCTCTAAACACCTCATCTAAAACCCCCAGAGACAGTCGGTGCCTTTACACTGAGGAACAGTTCCAAAACAGCCTGTTTAATCTCAGCATCCTTCTGCTCCAGTGATAAATTAGCGATGGCCTCTGTGTTTTTTTTTTTTTTTTTGGTTTTCCTGTGTGCTCTTGTGGGTAATGTGTGTGTGTGTAGGCAGCTTCAGCTGCCTGAGCGTTCAATCTGCGCACTGCTGTTTTGGCTCCAAATGATTTATTTTTCATCTCTGGCAAATGGTTCCCTCTACACATGCTATATTCACCAGACTCTGTTCTGGACGCCTCAAAGTTTGTTAGACTGGAGGATGTTGACACTCCATCATTTACAATAGTACCAGGAGGATGGAAAATCTGACGCTAAGTCTGAAAACGCCAGCACAGGAGGTGATGATGTTTATATGCAACAAAGCCCACATCCTCATACAGCAACGAAATAATAATAATAAAAAATCTTCGACCTAAACGGTGAACAGTACAGTTGTGCTGGTCCCGTCTGTCAGCCCGTATAGGGGACTAAGGGAGGAGAGCCGATGTTTTGGAGATCAGGTTTCCCCCAGATAAAGACACATTAATAACAGAATATAAAAAATGTTCTGTAAAACACGGCAGCTGGTGTTGAAAATGTACATGGATCTTTTATTCTCAATAGGAAAACATCAATGTAAGCCTTTCTGCTTTGGAAAAAAATAATTAAAACACAAATAGCTTCAGCTACCATTAAGCTGCACATGTTCTCAGACTGATCCTTCCCTAACATTTACTGAACTATCAGCTCCCAGCTGACAAATATTTGATCTGTGGGCGTCTCCGGAGTTTCATGTTTGAAATAAGGATAAGTTTAAAAAACAAAAAACTGTCTCGTAGTGTTTGTAGGTGTGTGTATTTTTAGATCGGGATAACCCCAGGCCTTAGGCATCAGGTTATTAAATCCCCATTTTGACCAAGGACAGAGGTTTGCTGTCACTTTTCTACCGTGAGCCATTTTGTCGTTTCTGTCAAACTTAGGAAAACTCAAGGTGGCGCGTTCATTGGCGCGGCTCTGCGTGCAGACACGTTTGGATAATCGTATTTGAACAAGCTTCCCTCTTTTGTTTCACAGCTTATAAAAATTTCCCGGGGACAACGGCAATCACAAAAGCCACGGCCTCGCCTTCCCTTCTGTCTGATTAAAGCCCCCACGCGCACGCTTTCATAACATTTTAATGGCCGTGCACGCTCAGTCACGTAGTCGGGCTCTGACTCACAACAATTAGTCTCTCTTTATGTGCTGAGAATGATTTTGTCTGTGTGTTTCAATAGCAGCAGCACATGGAGAAAAAGTGTGTCTGTGTGGTTCAATAGCAGCAGCACATGGAGAAAAAGAACAAACAACACTCTTTATTGTGTTTAAAAGAGTTGAAACCTTAGATGAGACTGATTACACCGCAGCTCCCTGAGGTTGAAATGAGAAACAGCCCTGATGTGACAAAGGATGATTCAGAGCGTGTGTATACATATAATCATAATCACTCTGCTCTTCTGGGTTCATGGATGAAGCTCTAATAATAATGAGAATGGTTCTGCAGAGAGTGCTGTCGAGTGGCAGCCATCCCCAAACACTGCGGCGTGGCCCACCAGCGGGCCGTGAGAGTTCATCAGAGGTGCTGCGGGAAATTATTGATTTGACGGAAACCTATTTATTCACAGCACATCATTGTTTTGTTTGCTCCTCCATCTGGGAGTGACAGGCAGCAACAATGAAATGCTCTTCCACTAGGTGGCAGAAACTCAGTCTTGCCGAACATCTT